TGAATGCCAGAGTATCACCCATAATCACCTGTCCGCTGGTGTATGATCTACTGGAATGAAATGAAAGTTAGTTATGATATTTATTGTCGAAGTGAGATAAGAAAGCACATGCCAATGTAAAGATTAGCGCCAATTTGTTTTGAACAGAACGATGCTTTCTTGCATTGAAGAATTCATAGCGTTGCTGTTTTTTTGTCAGCAAGGCTAAGGTCATAGCTATAGTATCCTGTGAGTAATGACGGCCGCTCAAACGGGTAACTGAAAATGGATTTGTATAGAAGCATTCCTTGCCGGTCAGTGGACGGCCCCCACTTACCTATCTGTGACTGTATTTATCTTTGTGAGGATGGTGAGTTATTTACGGGCGTGGGAATATCATCTCTTCCTCCGGAAGTTTGCTCATGCATTCAGCGCAAATTGCCGGTAATCGAAGCCACTGGAATGATGGACGGGTGGGGTGTTATAGCTTATCTAATTCATTTGTTATTTTCAATACTTACATCGATTTCTCAATCATCTGGACACAAAGATTCTCCACTGCTATTAAAATTATTCAACTTGATTTATTTTTTTCAAAAAAAAAGCGGCAAAAGAGGGTTCCGTGCTGCCAGTAAAAACATCGGTATTTTGACAGTTGTACAACTTTTCATTTAAAAGAAACACTTTAAATTTACGAATCGAAAGTAAAAGAAACACTTTCAATTAAAAAAAAAAAATAATTTAATTTTGAATGTTTTCGTAGTTGAAACAAGGGGTGGTCACTCTACACACTTGTTTTGCGCCAACTTTTTTCTCAGTGTACCTCAGTGTGCCGCAGTTGTACCGGCAGTGTCAAGAAGTCATTGAACTGACTTTTGATTGCTTGTGAATAATGCCTTGTTTGGCAACCCGGTATTTTAACAGCTTTTATTTTTGTTTTGTTTTTCAATGTTTTCAAAAACGACACCGACTCCAGTTGGGACTACACACTGGATGCATCCGTCTCCAAGGATGCCTGCAACGGACGAGCTCCGTTGCTACACGATCCTTCCATCTTTGGCGGAAGGCCGACCCCGTACAACGAACTTCAATCATTAGTCAACCAACCCTTCTGGGAGCCGGCGGAGGAAATGGATTTGCACCGAATTTTTCACCACCCGAGTATCATCCGTCGGAAAACTGGAAACCAACACCGGCCAGAACACACGTCGGACTGATGAAGGACGCACCGCTGACCCGAAACGGACCAGCCAATTTTTCCAAGCTGAACTACTTGTCAGAGTCCACCAACCCGTACACCCTGCAGGGGTGCTTCAAGGTCTACAGTGCCTCCAAGAACAATCGCTTCCCAGGCCAGCAATAATCGCATTCTCCACTTCTTCAATAACCCACCCGTATGCCGTCAGAGGATCTGCTGCTGACTGCATTCACCACCAAGGGCTGCCACCAGTCGCAAGTGCGAATGTTCCCGCTGAAATCGGGAAGTTCCTCCTCCGGATTGGTCGAGTTCCCGAGCGTAGCCCTGGCGGTGAACGTCATCATGAAGTGCAACCACAGCGCGATGATCACAAATGCACAAAACTCCCGTTCATTATGAAGCTGTGCTTCTCCTCCTCCAAGAAGATGAACGGTGCGTGGAACAACGAGAACACCGATAACACGTTAGCTTTAAAAGAGCGGAAGCTTATTTTCTGAGAAAAGAAAGGATTTTCCTTTTTCTGGGTAGTTAATGTTATGATTCGTAATTATAATTTCTTATTGTGTTAGTTGGAAGTGCAAAAAGGAGCGAGAGTTGAAAATTGGTTGAACTATTTGAGATTTTGCCAAGACGGTCCTCCAACATTTGGACGATGGAATGGTTGATGTAGCAGCCACCGCTTGTCGTGACCGGCCCAAGATTTCCAGCGCCGACCACGGCTACACAAACTAGCGATGCAGCTCCCACGGCTGCGGCTGATCCCACTGCTGCTGCTGCTGCTTTAGTTGCTGCTGCTGCTGTTCCTGCTGCTGGTCCGTCTCCTCTAAAATTCGTCAAAAAAGACGGACCAGCAGCAGCATTGGAAGCAGCCGCAGCCGTGAGAGCCGCATCGCTAGTTCGTGTAGCCATGGCCGGAAACCTCGGTTAGGTCAAGATACCACTGTCAGCTGTTCTTCGTATGAGAGGAAATGTGGATGCGACTGCCGTCACGGGTGTAACGATTTTGAGAATCCAGCATTGGAAACTTTTAATTTAAAAATGCTTTATTTTTGTTACCTAATACAATTTTAGTTTTTTGTGTGTAGGAATAGGAATTTGAGCGCGGTTCTCTCTGTTTATACCCACTTGAGTATTTTCGATTCATCTCCCCGAATTGAAAAGTTGTATTTTGTATTTTTTTTTTCCGTATTTGTATATATAAAAGCTTTGTGTATTTTTGTATTAAAGTGTATTACATTAATTATGAAATGCATTTTTCGTGTACAAAGTATTTTCGAGGTTTTTTTTTTGTGTATTTCATTTAAAGTATTTTAGTTTTAAAGTGTACACATCAACACTTCTCGAGGAATTTGCGTTTAAAACCATTGTTTACGTTTGGTTGTTCCGCTTACTTCAATTGTTGGTTTAGAAACAATAAATGAGGCTAGTTCAGTAGTGAGTGCCTGGGTGGTATTCATCCCCGTTTTGCTGCAAATAGGCGGTAGGTTACTCAATTGTCGAGTTAGCGTGTACGTTCATAGACCCGGTACAAATCCTTTGAAGATTTGTTGACCTTTTTCCGATTTTCTTGCCTATCCTTAAATGCTTGGGCCGAACAGTCAGTTGTATGATTAAAGCTGTTCGTTAAAATGAGATGCCGATAGCGAGATATGCAATTGACGAGAGAGTGAGGATAATTTTCGGAATATCTCGAAAATCTAACTTCGTTAGATTTGCTCGATTTCCTATGCCGAAGATTGCGATAATACCCCTAATAAAAAATACCATACACGAACGATAACCCAAATGATTGAAATATTCCATAAATGGTTTGGATGATACCCCGAACACGTCGTTAAGAAAATTAACCATAACATTTTTATTAGGGACGGCTAATCTGAGGATTTGCAAGACTGTCTCGTTTACTTTGGTCAGATCAGTGGAAGAAACAGGAGTGGTCCACCCGCCGTGGAGTGTTTTTCTAGGTACAAGTGGCATGAGGTTTTCTAATTGGTGCAGCATTTTAAAAATCCTTTTCCGCTAGTTTTCGTTAGGCAATACTGGATCTCTTCCGAGCGGTGTGTAAGCGTGTAAAGTGATTTGGAGAAGCAGGTAAAGAATGTGTTAGATTCTAGTGATAGTAGGGTAACGCGTGCATGTGCAACGGTTTCTTTCTGTACAGATTCTTGGCAAAGGCTGTACATGCCCGACACACCATCCGAACCATTAGTGACCATTTCTGACCCCACGGTCAGATTCCGAGGAGACCCGGTGTACGCCGGACGAGGGCCGCGAGCGTTACAAACGCGCCCTAGGCAGAACGATACGGCCACGATAGCGCTAAATCAACAATCAACATTTTGGTTACGACCAAAACGCGATCGACGATCGTACCGCGTCACGCAAGCCACGTGTCGACACTACATTCATCAGCTCATTCAGCAAGTCATCTTTAGTTTTTTCTGCCTGTTTCCGCCGAGCAAAGGCAACCGGATGGTTCACCGTCACCCCGTTCTGTTCATCCACCACATCATCTTCATCCGAACAGCAACATAAAAGGTGAGGCGTATAGAACAATTCGAACCGTTTGCACGGAAACCCAATACGCTTGCGAAGCACGCACAATGAAGACGAACTACAGCAGAACATAACCACACACGCTCGATAGACAGGTATATAGGAGGGGAAAGGTAAAAGGTAATGAAGAAGTAGGCAGATGAAGCTAGCACGAACATGAACTGTTGCGCCTGTAGGTAGACTGGACAATAAACCAATATGGAATAAAGGATTTTGTTTTGGAATTTCAATGGCAATGTTTGAATAAAACCGGAATTTTCATGTCACCGGTTTTCCGTTTTAACTTTGCTTTTGTGGATGTTTTACTGGGGAGATTGGCCCCGAAACCAACTGAAAAACTTCCGAATCAGACACGGGTCGGTTCGAGGTGAATGGAACGTCTTGGCCAGTGATAATAACCGTTCGCGTTGGTTAATCTTAGTACTGACCGTCAATTAGGTTCATTCTCTCATCTTTACATCTTTTTCGCTATTTTGTTGCATGCTTTTTGTAATTGGATAGCTCTAGTCAGCCAACTCGCTTCCCGCCCAAACATTTGGGAAAAATAGGAACCTCAAACCTGGAAGGTCTCATACGGTCGGGCAACCTCAACCTTGGTAATTGGTCTTCCTCGGGCGCGGCGCTTAAGCCATTACCATTAATGAGTATAAAAATACACATTTTTGACTGGTACTACATTCTTAAAATGTGTATTTTTTAACACACTTTAGGATCTCCAAATTTACACATTTGTTGACAGCTGCATATAAACACGGCGAATGAGAACGACCCAAATTTGAGTTTAGTTCACTCATAATCGCCAAAAGTGCAGGAACTCAGCGATGAGTAAATTTGCCCCAGGTTTTTCCAGGATTTTCCAGGGAAAAATTCCCGAATTTGAGAAAAATAAAGATTGGATTCACTCAGTGTATTGGTACTACTCCGAGACTGAATAAAATTTTCGTCAATTTCCTCATTTTCCGGCAGATTTTTTAGGTTTTCCACAGGAAACCATGAGACAAATTTTACTCATCGCTGAGTTCCTGCACTTTTGGCGATTATGAGTGAACTAAACTCAAATTTGGGTCGTTCTCATTCGCCGTAAATATAAATAATGTGTATTTTTTACTCCTTTATGTGTTTACGCTGGTTACCGTGTTCGTGAAATATTTCATTCCCACGAGCTGCGTGTTGGCTCCCCCGGCGGCTGTCAAAAAACGATGGAAACTCTCCAAACTAGCACCATCATCCGACGTCACTCATCATCAGCCAAAAGGGCTAAAAGGCAGCACCAGCAGCCAGTGCAGAGTACGAAAGAGTCATCACCGTCAAAAAGGAAGGTGTCGATAAAAAAAAAAGTGGAGTGTTGCAGCGAAGAAAGTCTAAGATTCTTTCTTCGTTTGAAAGTGTTGTAAACGATAGTAGAACCAGTGGAGGAAATTGGCTTGTGTTGTGAAAATTCGTGTTTCCGATCGCGTCGTGGCACGATGAGTGACTTTCTGAAATCGGCAATGAATTACTTCAACGCTGGGCCGACCGTCGGACAGGACAACGAATTCGTCGGCCAGATCGTGGAAATTTCGAACGTCAAGCTGCGAATCAAGCGTGTTATCGCCGAAGGTGGGTGTTCCTGTATAGTGTGGGACAGCACGCAAATGATTTTTCGCTTCCGGAGATCCGTCGCCGCCAACGCAAATTCGATATCCTCCGGATTGGGGGAGGAAGCTGTATGGATGAGATTTTTATCGCTTGTGTAATACGATAGTCGGTCTGTGGGGTGTAGGGGAAAACCGAGACGTGATGGTGGGTGCAGGAGATAAGTTTTTATTCATACCGTGACTTTATTCCTGCGGCTGGTTTTTATCGTAAGGGGGCGGAGGTGGAAAAAAAATGATCTTTTCCTTTCTGACACATTACGCTTTTTTTTTTTGTTCGCTTTTGCTTGCAAATGTCAAAAGCTGCTCTCCCGATAATGGAGGTTGTGTGTAGAGTTTCTCGCGCTTTCACTCTCTGTTTTTGTTATGTGGCATTTTGTTTTGTTTTCGACTTTTTTTTTATGCTGCGATGCTGCGAAGTTTTCCTATTGGAATAGCATAGCATAGAAATCCGGACAGAATGTGAAAAAGGGCCAGTCAAACCAAACGTTAACAAAATAGAGTTGTATGGTACATGTTTTCCAGTTCGTAAGCGAACTTCAAGGAAAAAAAAGCTGTGATTCACGTTTCTTTAGATTGCTTTTACACAATGCCCGACACTTTTAAAAGTTAATTATTAAACCCATCATGCACACAGCACGTAACTTTTATGATGTTCGTATAGTATCGTTCATCTATCGTGTAACATATGCACCAAAATTAAAAAAAAATCAGCAGAAACTTTTTTTTTGTGTTCATGCATTTTAAATATGTAAATTTGTGCCACAGTTTAATCGACAATTATAACCCTAATAATTATGAACATTTCAAATGGTCCTATCTGCTTTGATTGATTCTCTCCATCGACTTCCTCTTTTGATAACGTGCACGCTATGCAAACAGATTTGGTGTTTTTTTAACCACATGGTTTGATAAAGGAGGTTCTTATCTAGCGTCCAGAACGTCAAATACCACAGGGAAACGTTTTGCTTCTGAGTTATCAACGAAGGAGAAAGTCGATGAAGAGAATCAATCAATGCAGATAGGACCATTTGAAATGTTTATCTATAATTGACATCCTCACGCAAAAAAAAGGTCAGGAAAAACCAAATAATTTTTTTTGAAATTTTGTTCTACAAGCGCCACTGCTGCAAAAATGAGATTTCAAATCGACATTTTGCAACAAAGTGACGTTCGTAGAGCAAACTTCCCTTTGATGAAAATTTTTTTGTGTCACATGAACGATGAATGTTATGTACAGACTGAATAAAATTGTATTGTTATCTCTTTTTATCGCACGCAAATTTAACTCACCATTTGCACAGTACAGCTGTAAGTAAATCCACTTTTTACGATTGTTGAGTAAAATTTCAATGCTTAAAAAAAGATAGCATTTACTCAGTCTGTGAGTTATTTCCATCATCCGTGTAGGTGCTGGTCGATGCAGTGAATTTAAAAATATGTGCAAAATTGGTCATAGTGGCGTAAATGGCACTTTGCTGTCACACGGCAGCCATGGTCATCACACTTAATTATAGCGCATTTCACACCAAACTGGACAAATAAGCGCGTTTTCACTTATTTAAAAGTGTGATAAAAGTGCGTTTCCGTCTAACCGTCTTGGTATCTTCACTCTAAGAATCATGCACTTCCATGGTACGTGAAAAATAACGTAGATCCTGAAACATTCAGCCTCTACCATTGCCACCATTCTATCATTGGAACCCTGGGAATCTGAATGACACTTCATGCATATTAACGGGGTTCCTTTTTTATTTGAACTTCTAGTACACCTACGACCACCAGAAAAGCGAGTTTCTGGTAGCCTTGTAACATGATATAACCCATACAAACTTCAACCCGCTTGAGAAATGGATAAATATTGACCGATTTCGCTCAAATTTGGACCAGAGCCTCTACTTGGCATAGCGAACAAGTGACTCCGTGACGCGGAGGGTTGTCAAAAAATGCTCAAAATTTTGGTCACCCAACTGTTCATACTAGTGATCATCAGGTCCATCTTAACATTTTAAAAAGCATGTACGCAGAACATGCTTCACCACACCACATTCCAGTGCTTGAGATTTGGATTGTTGCTAAACCCGATTGAGGGTGTTCATGACAAACAGTTCGTCCGGTGGAGTGCTTTGTGCGAAATACATAAGACACCCGACGGCTTCCTGATACGGAATATTCATGATAGCAGCAGATTCGGGCTCGCATCCTTGGAAAGCTTTTCGCTAGTATTCATCGAAACCTTGCCATCGCCGTCGATTATCACGCCTCTGCCTACACGAAACGAAAATCAATTATTTAATTCATGTGTTTCACTTATACATTTTTGCCAAAGCATCCGCCTTATACATTCCATAAGACAAACCACATAGGTCCTATTAGAATGCATAAAAGGTATGTGTGACCGCTTATACATTTCATTTGACACATGATCTTTATTAACTTTTTGCAAGGCGTCTGCTTATTAGTTGACTTATACATTTTATGAATAATCAGCAATGGAAATTTGCCAAAAGGTATAAGGAGATTTCTATCCGTGTATTCATGTTCTATTATAAATATTATAGCTATAATAGCGCTCGGTTCTTCCAGCGAACAGATACTTTTTCTTTGTCGTATTCACTTTTACAGACATAACACATGGAATATTTCTCACTGTAATAGCAACAATCAATACGAAACTAACGATTTTAAATTGGCTCACCACTTTAGTAGCCTATTGGTCCCAAGCAAACGATTAACGTACCCTATTCTAGTTTAAATTCTATTACTACATTATGTTTGTTTTGATTCGCTATGAAAGTTTGACAGATAACATCAGGGGTGTGTGGATTCATGCAGAACATGCAGGGGTGAGTGAAATAGCTTGGGACTGCTTGGGACCGTTGTTCTGGTACTGAGTGAGCCAAAAATAATAATGATTTTCTTCGGGACCCAGTGGTCTTAGAGTTACCTCTATGGTAATAGTACGTTCAGACTATAGAGTTATAACATAGAGGTAACTCTAAGACCACTGGGTCCCGAAGAAAATCATTATTATTTTTGGCTCACTCAGTACCAGAACAACGGTCCCAAGCAGTCCCAAGCTATTTCACTCACCCCTGCATGTTCTGCATGAATCCACACACCCCTGATGTTATCTGTCAAACTTTCATAGCGAATCAAAACAAACATAATGTAGTAATAGAATTTCAACTAGAATAGGGTACGTTAATCGTTTGCTTGGGACCAATAGGCTACTAAAGTGGTGAGCCAATTTAAAATCGTTAGTTTCGTATTGATTGTTGGTTATAACATGTTATAGCGCTATCTTGATGGTGGTTTCTGTGTTGCAATTAGTTGACAACCGTTATAACATGTTATAACCGTAGAGGTAACTCTAAGACCAGAAGGTCCCGAAGATTCGTGTTCAACTTTTTGGCACAGCTCTGGTACTATCTTCGGTCCCAAGCTAATCGATGCACCCCTCGCAACATAAGAAAATCCATGAACCCCTCATTGTATCTGTCAAACTTTCATAGCAAATCAAAACAAACATAGTGTAGTACTAGAATTTCCACTAGAATGGGATACGTTAATCGTTTGCTTGGGACCAATAGGCTAGTCAAGTAGTGAGCCAATTTAAAATCGTTAGTTTCGAATTGATTGTTGTTATAACTCTCCAGTCTGGACAGCGTTTAAAACATCGTCGCTAAAACATTTCCCGCTATCTGTTGAGAACACTGTGGTGGGCACTACGCTGAACAGATGGCGGTAGTGTGTAAACGTCAAACGTAAGGAAATTGACTATGCGCGCCACAGGCGGCGGTACTACCAACTACGATACTTTTAAATTGTCCGTTAAATGCTTGTTCGATGAACAACTTGCGAGTGATATGCCTGTTTGTCTGTGGTAGTACCGCCACTTGTGGCGCGCATACACTGTACCAAACCACCGTCCTCTGTTCGAATGAAACCTCAGACCATTCAAATCGAAACATCGAAATCGCCTTTTCGAATGATAGCTGCACCCGGATGACGTTTTTTTTTAAATCAGATGATTGTCCTCTCGAATACAGGATGAACATTGTTATGAAAAGGGATAGGGCCTTCAGTTGGAATACGTAATGCTCTCCGCAGAATGATAGTCATCATAAATTGAAATGCATTTGGTATTGGTTCAGCCCCTAACGAAAATCATTCAAAACGACGATGTAAATAATTCTATCGAACGTCATTTGCTGCTCTTAGTAGACAAACGAGGTGGAAGCATAGCCATCGCTATAGACGAGTGCATGGATGGATTCGAATCGGCCGTTATGGATTCTCGATCAAGAGTTAAGTTTAAGTTTCATGTCGGTTTGTCGGTGGTAAAACATCGTCGCTTAAACATTAACGCCATCTGTTTAGTACACTGTGGTGGGTAGTATGCTGAACAGATGGCGGTAGTGTGTAAACGTCAAACGCATTAATCGACTACACTGAACAAAAACATCAGCAATACTTCGACTGATTATTGTATTGCTCGAGCCCTTTAACAACATGCTGTCGAATTTCGGATGATTTCCTTATAGTTGAATTCGTCATCAACTGATGAGCATCCATATGACTGTTCTCCAAATAAAGGATGATATTTGAAAATTGGCTGTAAAACATACAGGGCTCAGAGGACAACAATTTAAGGATAGGATGACTTGCAAATGCTTTTAATCAGATTATTAATTCGATTGTTTATATTTCCATATTTAATAGCCATGAACAGCCATTCATCATGGATACAACAATGTAGTGTTGGTAGAGGAAACTTCCTCCACCACGAAATAGGCAATTCTCGCGTCACTTTTCAAATAGACCAATGTAACAAATGTAAACAAATCGAGTTAAGCGATACAAACTATTGCTCTTCTATCATTGTATGTGATACAAAAACATCCATCCAAATTTACTTTCATTTATTTAAGATAATCATAGGTTAAAAATTGTCCAATGTACAGTTTGAAATGATGGGTACATGTTTGTTACTTTGGTCATTCGGACTGCCTAACATGATTGGTGCTCATTTCCTAAAGGCGGGGCCAATCTAAAGTTAGGTACTCTACTCTGAAATCTGTGAAAGGGAATCTAGTATCATGTAGACAATGTAACACTCAGTGATTATGTCGTTGAGAAAAATCGTACAATGTAACATGTCCGATGTACAGCTTGTCCTATGTGGTTTTTGCTATATTGTAGCATGAAATTCAAATCAAAATTGTGATTTTACCGTTTCTACTGAATTTTCAACAGTATTGCAAAATGTATTGTTTCTAAACAGTTCAAATAATAATCTGTCGAACTTCAACTTCGATTTTCTCAAAATGGTGGATATGTTACATTTTCCACGCTTTACCAATGCCCGACCAACCATTTCGTTAATTTTCTTTAATTTTCTATACATCGATCTTCAAAGCCATTCATAAGACAAATCGATATCGATCGTTACCATTTCATGAATAATTGTAAAGATGCTAAAAGTCTAATAGTGAATCGTTTATAAAGATCTTTCTCAAAATATTGCTACCAATCGTTACCAATGTTAAAATATCGAGTGTGTTGCCAGATCAAAATATCGATTTCTGTTGTAAATTCAAAATATCGATACACAACTGCTGATTTTATTTGTGATTTTTAATCTGAATAATTTCTAGTTTCGATCCCATGCCATCTGGGGTCAAGACGGTTTTATGACAGGTGGGCAGGAACTCACGGTCTCCCAGTGTTGGTGAGTTCTTTGCCGTTAATGTTCACGAAAAGTTCACTATTTTGCTATACAGAAATTCAAAACAAAATTTTTTATCTGCGGATTTGAACAGTTTTTGACCTGTTTCATACTACCGGAAGGTGTATGCTGGTCACAAATGCCGTGCCAAACTGATTTCCTACTCAATTAATCAATCTTTGATGTGAAATTCGCTAATAAACACGAGGCGCATTTCTTATAGCCAACATGCCATAACAATGGGCATGGTTCATTTTAGTAAACAAACTAACACTTCTTCCGACTGTGGCACCTATGTATTAGGCGCCGAGATCTGGGGTGTACTGATTTCGTTGTTGGTTGCTAATCCTCGGGTCCACGGTTGATGCTGTTGATGAGCTTATAAACGACAGGCAAACACACTCTAGTATGTGGTGTATTGAAATTTCTGTAAATCTTTTCATACATGAATTCAATATTTATTTGTCATAACCATCAACCAGTCAGCCATGTAGGTGTAATAGAGGTCAAAAAGGTATCAATGTTCCTCATTGGGTTCCAAATGCCGAGAATTCCACCACGCATGCTATCAACGGGTTATTAAATATGTAGACGTAAACTTGAAGAACTACAATGGTAAACATTTGCTGCGTCGCGGCCATCGGTCTTCTCATTCATTTACCGGCAGATTGCTTCTTCCGATGAAATGATGAATATGTCGATAAATAATATAAACATTGCCATCTGTCACCTGGTGTTTCTCGAAATCTCTTTAACCAGCGATGCAAATCGATAACAAGAAGATTATAAATGTGTATCGATGGCAATCTTTGTTGTTCTTTGTCAAAGTTCAAAGTTACGATGATATCAGTATTTAAATATTTATTGATGAATATTTGTAAAGAATACTAAAGTCCATGTGACGTATCGAAATTAAAAGAAATTTAGAATGGCACCTTTATAGATTACTATCATATGACCGATGAAGAAATAATCTTAAATGTAAGTATCGATCAATAAAGATTTTTAAATGTGTACATCGAAATCATAGAAAATTTAAAGTGAAGAATTGCCGACATAAATCTTTATTTTTGTATAAAGAACTTTGAAGAAGTTTCACGAACGGTTGGTCGGTTGTTCGTACCACCTCGGATAGACAAGAGACGAGTGCACGGGTGAACTTTTGTTCATCTACTAAAAAAAAAAATAGACACAACAGCGGGGCCCTGTTTACTAAAAATGAACACATGAATAATGCTCGCGTAACATTTGAAGAGGGCCTATCAACTTTTGCAAATAATTTGCTAGGTCCTTTTCACGAGAACCGAAGTACGTCCACGTAAACCAAGAGCACTATCGGGAAGGGGAGAATTTCCCCAACCCGATGGTGCTGTTGGTTTGCGTAGGAGTATTCGTTTCGCGCGAAAAAGGCTTAACAAGTTTGGTGTACAAAAGTTGATGGCCCGTTTGAAATGTTACGCGAGCATTATTCATATGTTCATTTTTGGTAAACAGGGCCCCGCTGTTGTGTCACTTTTTGTCGAGTGAGTGAACTCAAATCCATCCGTGCACTCGTCTAGATTTGGAAAATGTCTCGACTTCCCTGGGCATAGAAGTATGATTGGACTTGCCACACAATTATACCAATGCAAAAATGGTACAGGCATCGAAAGCTCTCAATTAATAACTGTGGAAGTGCATCTAGAACACTAAGTTGAGAGCACGCAATAAGCTAATATGCGATATGCAATAAGCTTGAAATGCGAAGAAGAAGAAGAAGAAGAAGAAGCGATGATCGATTCTCTTCATGGATTTTCTCTTTGCATTGCTACAGCTAAGCGAAAAAGTTTTCTAGAATTTGATCAATGCAGAGTTGTAACAGGTTGTATTGGCAATCAAACGCAACGAGAAACGTAAAATCTAGCGAGTTATTAACAAAAGAGAAAAGCGACGAAGGGAATCGATCATCGCGTTGCATGCTCACTGTCGAATTTTCCAAAAAAGAATATACTTATTTTCTAAACCCAGTCACTTTATTAGCCTTCACTTATCCAACAAAACATTACCCCCAGGTGGTTTTGCGTTCGTGTTCGTCGCACAGGACATCCAGTCCGGGAACGAGTATGCCCTAAAACGGCTGCTCGGTGCCGACAAGGAAGAATGCAACAACATCATCCGGGAGATCAACACCCTCAAACAGGTCTCCGGCCATCCGAACATTATCAAGTTCATAGCGGCGACATTCATCGATCGTACTCAGAATGCTGCAGCCAAGCGGGCGGAATATCTGCTGGTTACGGAACTATGCAAGGGTGGTTCCCTGTACGATTGCCTGGAGAAAGACCTGCTGCCGGAAACGGTGCTGCGTGTGTTCTATCAGGCGTGCAAAGCGGTTGCCCATCTGCACACGCAACCGGTACCGATCAATCATAGGGACATTAAGGTATGTGGGTGTTCGTTTTCATGTTTTGGTATAATAGACGGAATTAATCTTGCGCCTGATTTTCAGATTGAAAACTTTCTCATCGGAAGTGATGGCCAGTTAAAGCTGTGCGATTTTGGATCGTCCTCGACCGATACCTACGCTCCGGATCCGAGCTGGAACGCTCAAAAGCGGGACATGCTGGAAGATCACCTTGGTCGATGTACGACTCCGATGTATCGATCACCGGAACAGTTGGATACCTGGGCCAACTACCCAATTGGAGTCAAGACAGATGTGTGGGCCCTGGGATGTATACTGTTCTGTTTGTGCTATCGGAAGCATCCGTTCGAGGATTCCGCGAAGCTTAGGATAATAAATGCTAACTACACCATTCCGAATGATTCGCGATATGTGTGCTTTAATGAGATTATTCGAGGATGCCTGCAGGTGGATCCTTTGAAGAGATTTGATGTATCAATGGCTCTGGAGCGGCTGGCAGCTATATCAGAAACGAAAGGATGGCCTTTAAAGGGTTCACTTACATTAGATGGTAAACCATTGATCACGCCTCCTAGTGGACCGACTCCCAACCTTAGTCCCATGCATCTCCCGGATGTGGCGGCAGCAAATCATCATCCACCTCAGCGACCAGCTCCTCCAAGACCAACTCCTCCGGTAGGTACCAATGCGGGTCCACCTCAGGAGAGGAAAAATCCTCAACGTCCGCCAGATCCGGTTCGTCCTGCTCCACCCGTTGTAGTTCCTCCGATCCATCATTATCCCCATCAACCACCAATGGTGGGTGCGGCCGCAGGGGGAGGTGGTTTGTTTTCCTCAATTAAAGGAGGAGCTGGAAGCTTTCTGAAAAATCTTAAGGATACCTCTTCAAAGGTAATGCAAACCGTTCAGCAGAGCATCGCTCGTACGGATCTCGATATTAGCTACATCACACAAAGGATCTTGGTTATGCCATGTCCTTCGGAAGGCTTAGAGTCCACCTACAGGACGAATCACATTGAAGATGTGAAACTCTATCTGGAAAGTCGGTTCCTTCCAACAAAGCTTAGTATTTACAATCTGGGTCCTCGAAATTGTCCCAGGTTGCCGCCACCAGTACGCACCGTTGAAGGTAGTTTCTTATACTCCCCCGTTCCACCGTCCTACAAGGCACCGACTTTGGCTGGATTGTACTCGCTAGCGGAGGACATGTACGGTTTTTTGAACGCGGATCCAAAAACCGTAATCGTCATCCAGAGTCCAGACGCTGGCAAGGCCGTAGCTGCAACGATGGTTTGTGCTTTACTGGTGTATAGTCAGTTGGTAACGGAACCGGAAGATGCATTGCAGATCTTCGCCGTCAAGAGAACTCCTCCCAATATGAGAGCTTCGGAACTGCGGTACCTCTACTATCTTGGCGACATTGTTCGATCGGTGCCGCACTTGCCGCACTACTTTCCGGTTACACTTGTTTCTGTCACTGCTAGCCCCGTTCCAAGGATGACGAAAGCTCGAGATGGCAGTCGAATTTATGTCGAGGTAGCATCAGGTGATCGAATTGTATTCAGCACTCTCCAGGATTACGATCGAATGCGACTGTACAATGCTACTGAAGGAAAGGTTACCCTCACTCTGAACATTACGGTATGCGGAGATGTTACAGTTACGCTGTATCACGCTAGGAATGCCCTTGGAGGTATGGGACGCCCACAAGGTTTGAAGATTTGTCAATTCCAGTTCAACACTGGCTATATTCCGGAAGAGGAAACACTCATCAACTTCAACAAATCCGAGCTGGATGAAGTTCCGGATGTGGAACATGTTCCTCACGGTTTTCACGTCGGCCTTTCCGTATTCGTTGGCGATTCGGAACGACCCCCGTCCAACCAACCTCCATGGATTCCGGCAAAACCCCAAAGAGACCCGAAAATTCTGTTTGCTTCCCAGCTCGAATACGAAGAGAACGTTGACAACTTCATTTCCAAACCAACGGCTTCCAAACCAGCTGCAGCTCCCAGTCGGCCTCCACCACGTCCGGCTGCTCCTTCGCCACAACCTTCAAGGGCTCATCCTACTCCTTCGGCTACGACTGAAGATCGTCCTCCGAGCGTTCCGAACGATGCGGATCTTCTCAATTTGAACAATGCTAGTCACACGATAACGGAAGACCCGAAACCTGAACCCAACGAAGCTACTTTTGATCTGTTAGGAGGATTTGCTCCACCGGTAATCGAGACCACTCAACCTAGAGCCAACACCGGACCACCCGCAGGTCTTGATGACATCTTCGGAACCCTGGACGGTGGTCCGGTACCGCTTCAAACCACCAAATCCAGTACCGATCTCAATGGGCTCAATCTTAACTTTGACAACTTTGGCGGTACAGCTCAACCGGCTGCCGCTTCCAATGGTACCGGATCCAACGGGGTCAACAACCAGTTCAACAACAGTTTCGGATTTGATCCATTTGCCGGGATTAGTGCAAGTGCATTCCACAGCAGCCATCAGGCACAACCTCAGCAGCAACAGCAGCAACAGCAGCAAAGCCAGCAAGCTCAACCAGCCAGCAAGGATCCATTCGCAGACATTGGCAATCTGGCTTCAAATTTAGGCACCGGAGGATGGGGTAAATCCGGTTCAACCATTCCACCAACTACGACGCCGAGTCCGCGATCGACTCAATTCTCTAGTCCAACGCATCAGGTGAGTGGAGCTAGCACGGCCAATCCATCGCCGAGGGCACCGTCAACTCCGATCCACCAACAGCAGCAGATGCGTAGTCCCAATGCAGACCCGCAGAGACCGGACTACAGTCGGTCACACTTTGATCAACCGAAACCGGGGGCCGCACCGGCCAGCAATGGAGCCAATGGACAGAAGGAAAAGCCCGGTGATATCTTTGGTGATATTCTGGGATCGCAAGGGTATTCGTTTGGTAGTTTGAAGAATCAGGGTCCGAGGACGATTAATGATATGCGCAAGGAGGAACAGATTAAGGAGATGGATCCCGAGAGGCTTATGCTGATGGAATGGGTAAGTTGCCTTTTGGATTTGCAGGAATTTGAGCTTTCGTAAGTTTTAAATGTGGGTTTTGATTTTGTAGACGGAAGGCAAAAAGAATAACATTCGTGCATTGCTTTGCACGGTTCACACGGTACTGTGGCCTGGGGCCAAGTGGACAAAATGTGAGATGCACCAGCTGGTCAGTGCAGCGGACGTGAAGAAGACGTATCGGAGAGTATGTCTTGCCGTACATCCGGATAAGGTAAGTTGAGATTTGTGTTATTTTATAGCATTCGCTCTTTGATTATTTGTCAAAAGGAAACCCTGTTAATTTTTTTTACAAACAATAGAAAATAATTTAAGAGAACATGAATAGAAAATTCGGGTTTGAATGATTTTTTTAAGATCTGAAAATATTCAGAAGAAATTCAGGGTTCATCGCAGATGTTAATTTCGGTTTAGTTTGGCTAACGATTTGGGTTAGTGTGGGGAATTTTGAGGAAATTTCAAATGAACATGAGGAAATTTTAAATGAATATGCTGAACAGTTTTAAATGAACTGTTGAATACTCTCTGCAGTCCGCAAATCGCACCGTATGCTCCATAATTTGTGCGACGTAGAGGCAGTCTTAGCATAAGGATGTTACGAAGCGGTCGTTGTTGAACATTCAGGTTAATTTGCCTCAGGATAGCCTCGCAATCTGTTCTACCTTGCAGGATATAGGTCACGGTTAGGGCTCTGCTTGTGTCCCTTCTAGCCCGGAGAAATTCTAGGTCGATAAGTTGACAACGGCTCTCGGCACCGTTGTTGCAGTTTGGGCTCCAAACCGCTGAACAATACTCAAGCGTCGATCGAACAAGCGGACAATAGAGAGATTTTAGACAGTAGATATCGGTGAAGTTTTTAGCTGTCCTAAAAATGAACCCTAAAGTTCTTGACGCCTTAGCGACAACATATGCAATGTGTTGCTTGAATGATAGCTGCAAATCCAAGATCACACCCAAGCCTTTCACCTGATTCACGCGTTCGATTGTCAAGGCAAGCAGGTCATAGTAATAGTGGAGCATTTGGCTGGGTTCACTACCATTCTGTTTAAATTGCACCAACTAGCGAATACATTCAGCTGACGTTGAAGAAACTGACAGTCAGCAATCGAGCGGATTCGTAGGAAGATTTTGAGGTCATCTGCATATGATAACCGAGGAGCTTCGACGGCCAGATGCACGTCGTTGAAGTACAGTATAATAATCAACGGTTCCAGGTGACTTCCCTGAGGTATACCTGATGTGGCGAAGAAGCTAGATGATCTGCATCTCCTATGGCAATCTTTAGTGTGCGACCGGTAAGATACGATCGAAAGCAATTTAGACGATAACGCATACACCGAGCCTGCCGAGTTTAGCTATCGCAATAGCATGGTTCAACTTGTCGAATTCTGCGGATAGGTCTGAATAAATAACGTCCATTTGAACCAGATCTAACATGCCATAATGACGGTTCCATAATCACTAGCTCGAATAGCTTCGAAACGGCACTTAACGATGTAATTCCTCGATAGTTATCCACAGCTCGTTTCCTTCACTTTTTGTGGATGGAATTATGCCACTAGAGAGAGACATGGGGAACAGACGATGAAGCGAAATTAACAAACTAGCAATATGTCTCTTCAAAAATACAGATGGAACTCCATCAGGTCCAGGATTGAAGGATGACTTGAGCAGAGTCGCGGCCTTGGAAATCATCTCAGCATTAACATCAATTGCACCCAGCGTTTGATCATTTACTGGAATGTTCCTGGCAGCCAGGGTAATATGGTCGTCAGTTAGTATCTCATTTGTGAATACACTGGCCAACTTGTCGGAAAAAGGCGGCATATATCCTGAACGGTGGCAGCAACTTCTCTGTTGAATTCCATAGACGATGGAAGGCCGGACTCCCTGCGTTTCTCGTTCACATAGTTCCAAAACGATTTCGGGTGTAGCTTAGTTTGCGCTGGATGCCTCGTTGGAAACTTGAAAAGCATTCACGACTGACTCGCTGGTACATGTGATTCAGCTTCACATAATGTAGTTTCAGAGGAAGCGTGCGATACTTCGTAAATCTTCTCAATGCTACTCTCACTTCTGTCAAGGATGGTGAGAAACTTTGAGGTGAGTTCTTTTCGGGACTTGTCTGTCATTGACATATGCCAAGACGTGTGAAAAGGTTTGCGCTGCAGCCTCAACGTCATCTGGATCAAGGATGTTCTCCCATACCATGCTAGATAACACATCTATGATACTACAATGGTCAGCTTTACGGAAGTCATAAGAAACCGCAGCAGGATAATCGTCGAAATCACGCACGAGTTTGCCCTCAACAGTGACAATTAGAGGAGGGTGATGTGGAACTAGCTTAATTAGGGCACAAGGAGCCGAGGAAATTAATGGAGCCCTGTCCTGAGTGCTCACGAAGCAGAGGTCCAAACTTCGATTATTTTCGTTAAATACATGATTAATTTGAGAGATCGTTGCTGCGCTATAGTGGTCGAGAAGGCTAATAGCTCCTGCGTGAAATGTAGAGCTATCAGGATCTGGATACAGGAATCCGCTATGACATGGACTCCACGAAACGCCTGGCAGATTGAAGTCACTCAAAATGATGGTTAAATGGCACTTTCGATAACTGTGAAAACTGACCGACAGTGAGTATCGATGAGTTCATTGTCCCGGACTCGATTGGGTGGAATGTACAGAGCGCATAGAAGTAGTGTGCGATTACCCAGATTGATGCCTGTCCAAACCTGTTCCACATAGTTCCATGAATAGTTCTCGATGGCCTTTGTCTCCAACCCGCCTCGGCAGCTACAAGAACACCAATAGATTTCGGCTGTTGTTAGGATTCCGATGGCAACGAAAGACCTCGTAGTCAGGATCGAAGACTTGACTGGAAAGCGTTCGAGAATCGAGCCACGTTTCGCACAGTAGACATCAGAATTCATTCCACTGGCATTTTGGTACGACTGCTCTCTCTGGAAATGACAGATACATCAGGCAATAACTGACTATCGTCAAGTCTGATTGAATACTCGCCATAGTTAGTGGGTTTGGAGACTCCCTCTCCACATCTGACTATAATAAACGAAGACTGCTGATGGCAGGACTGACACGGAGGGATTTGGGGCTTCCATGGGGCTTTCTACGGCGCGTTCCGGGTTCCCAGGATTGGGAGTTACAGAGGCATCATCACAATGACTAACATAGTCCGAATTGCTGAAAATTTGATAGGCATCAGGCAGTGAATAGTCAATATATTGATTGTACTTGCCTTTAGAGGCAAGGTGGAAGACTCCTCATTAATATCCAGCCACAGGTCCAGGACGACTATGCTGAACGCTGGCAGGAATCGGCACGACTGGGCTGGAGAAACCAGGTGCTTCCAAAGAGCGGTCTATTGTGCGTTCCGGAGATGAATAAGGATTGTTCGAACAGTAAAGCGGATGTTGTGAATGAGCAGTATCAGAAGTGCTTCTCAACTGGAAACAGCCGGCAGATGCTTGAGGCGTTGCACTGGAACACGGAAGCTGATCAGGAAAATTACTGTAACTAATGTATGCATATTTGCCTGAAAACGATGAACACCAACGAACTCGACCGCAGGTCCAGAACGACGCTGATGGCAGGAAATAGAACGACTTTGATGGTGGGAAACAGCTAGCGTGACTGGATCGAATGGTTCGCGGTCTCCCATAATGCGACAGGCAGTGCGTTCTGGTCTACAGCGTTCCAATTCACAACGCGGCATCCAATTCTGAATCAGCATACTGGGTCTAGTCCAGAGCTGGGAGTTCAGAACTCGGAAGGCCCCGGAACAGGAGAAATCGTTCCAGGCTGGCGTGTTCAAACGAGGCATCCACATGTTTTTTTAGCCGTCTTCAAATTCACGGAACAAAATTCCTTTCGGCCATGTATCCGATGTAAGAGCAACTTCACGTAGTTTGGGAGCCAATCCGACTTTATACGATATGTAACTCATACTACTGATGTCGGATCCTTTTTTAACTAGCGGCACAACCTTGATCGGATCATCGCACTGTACACAACCTTTGACCAGCTTCTCGATTGATTCCGATTTCACGCTAGGATGTATACGAGAAAGGTACAGCCAAAACAGCTCGGTGGGTTCAGGGACAGTAAGGACCTCGGTAAAGACATTGTCATCCGTTACTGCTTTAGAACCACCAACAAGTGATTTGCTGGTGAGCGAGCCTTCATCGCGGCGCCGTTTTAATGGCCGTTGACGCATAAGATGATAAGATAAGATGGCCGGAACTCAAGTGTGTTGGAGTTGTCAATGCGATTCGTTTCGACAGCTGAGCGATCTGCTGTCCTTGCTTAGTCATTTCCTTCTTAAGCTCAGCATGTGCGATTTCCTGTTTCCCGGTGATAGAATTAATCGCACTACCAAACGACGAAACAGTAGTTTTGAACCGGGCACATTTCATCAGCTTCGCGCACTCGTTGCACATACAAAACAAGTTCGGGCTAGTGTGGACAATGTTCAGAAAAGCCTTGTTCAACTTTGTGCCGCCGCATTTCAGGTGAATCATCCTGTCGCAAAAAGCCATGCAGGAGACGGATTCTTCATCGCCTTTAACTGGTTTAGCGCATTGGTCACAGGCCGAAGTCATGCTGATTCAGTTTCTAAATCTAATTTAGAAACAGCGGTGGAGATGCTCTAATACGCAAGGAGGAGTTGGATTATGCAGAGCGTCTGATTTTTTTTTAGACTTTATTAGAGAGATTTTTAGCCGTTGGCTAGTTTATCTCTATACAATGGGAGGCCCCAGAGGGGGGTTCTGGCAGCAAATTTTGTTACGGAGTTGGCTTACAATTCACATGTACTCAAATAGAAGCAATTAAAACAGATTCCAGTAAAAAGACTAACAATACAGGCAACGAGAAAAAAAAACAATCTGGTACATCAAAGTTAGGTAGGGTTTTGAAAGATATCGGAGCGGTACATCTCTACCGGAGGGGTAATCCCCCGTCCGGTAGAGATGTACCGTGAGCCAAAAGAAAGTTAAAAGGACCTAAATGTTGTTGTATAACCCAGCGTCCTTGAGGAAATAAATAACTGTCGCTAAAGTGGAAGGTTCGTCGCCCATGTGGGATACACCTTGATTGGACTACATTGTTCTCCCTAGAAGCATTGGCTCCACCCCTTGCTGAACGAATAGTTGAGGAAACACACTCACACAACCACAAACCCTCCACCGAGCCAACGGCACAAGAGACTGTAGCATCGTGTCTCTTGTCCTTTTGTTCCCCACACCATCGTGAGAGTAAGTCGTGCGTCAGTCTGTCTCCTGGGCTGGACGATTTCTTCCGGCTGCAATACGGGATTTCACAGCCCAGTATGTCCCTAATGCTGTTGGGAAGTGCGTACTGCTCCCTTAGTTGTTGGTATTGCGGACACAGGCATAGGATGTGTTCCACCGATGCAGTGGTTCCGCAAACGTAGCACATTCTGTGGAACTGCGTCCCACCAAAACTATGTGAGATCCTTGTATGGCCTGTCCTAAGACGAGAAACCACCTTCTGGTCCCGTAGTTTCGACATATCCGTCCACTTGCTCGTCGTTCCTTTGATTCTTCGGATGAAGAGAGATTGGGATTGGCACCACTCTGCTTCCTAGGCTTCCCACATTTTGCTGACTATCCATCGCTTTATGTCCTGTAGTGGCACTTCGTCGGTGTAACGGGGGCCAGCTGATCCAGACCCTGCCAGGCTGTCGGCTTCGCTGTTTCCTGGGATACCGCAGTGCCCAGGGATCCAGGAAAACACCGTGTTCGGAGGTGTGGCCTCCACAATCCAGGGGTAAGTCATGGTCTCCGATGTAAGGGCTTGTAACACGCTGTACGGATCGGATAGCACCAGTATGAGCCGGTCCGAGGGTGTTGTAACGGCAATAAAAATGGCCGCAGCTTCGGCGGAGAAAACCGAGCATTGTGGCCGTAGGCTGCTACTCATCGGTGCTGAAATTCCGGCTACTCCAATTCCGACCCCGGCTCGGGAAAGCGATCCGTCCGTGTATTTGTGGGCATGGGTTGGGTAGTCCGAGCCTAGCAGTTCGGCTATTGCTCTCTTCAGTGCTGCAGAGTTGTTTCCAGCCTTGAACCTGTTTTTTATCTGACTCTCGATTTTTGGTGGAGGTATGCGCCAACTTTTGTCTCCGTACCAGTGGACCTTGGCCACTAGGGGAAGCTCCGAATTGGCAGTCATGCGGAGGAGTCTGTTCCCCTCATCGAGGAGAAAAATCCTGTCATTTCCGGAGGTCATTGCGGTAAAGGCAGCGGCTTTCGCTGTAATTGCTGCGGTTATACGATGACGGAAGGGCAGAATACCCGCTTTGATGCATGCGGCATCGACGGGCGTTGGCGGAAGAAGACCGGAGACAATCCGAACGAAGGTGTTAAAAGTTGGTGCCAGTATCTGCACGAGCTTTTCGGAGCGTCTGATATCGACAATAACACAACAGTAAACACTACAAGATGATCAATTAGATAACTTTTTCACTGTTATCACAACACGGAATATGCTCCAAATAGACGATTATCGCAACGAATTGCACTTTCCACTAACAACCGGTAAAATTTTGCAAGTCTACAGAACGGGAAAAACGAAGAACGATAGCCCGTGTGATAAAAAATCATCAAATTTAACAGCGCAAAATCACGACGATGTGAACAACAACACGTTTGGCAGACATGGTTGGCATCAGACCCCCTTCACTCTTTGGAATTTATAGAGCCAGATAACAGCGCCAATAGGTTTGTGACGATACAACGTTGAACTGCAGCGTTGGAAGAAAACATGCACACCATCATACATGTACGAACCCACCAATGATTTCGATACGTTGCGTTGTTTCCATGTATACTTCTATCACAGACAAACAGACACAACACATTGAATATTTCTCACTGTAAAACATCGTCGCTAAAACATTACCACCATCTGTTGAGTACACTGTGGTGGGCACTACGCTGAACAGATGAGGGTAGTGTGTAAACGCCAAACGCAAGGGAATGGACTATGCGCGCCACAGGTGGCTGTACTACCAACTACGATACTTTTAAATTGTCCGTTAAATGCTTGTTCGATGAACAACTTGCGAGTGTTATGTGTGTTTGTCAGTGCTTCTATGCTTATAAAGATTTTGTTGAGCAACTGCTTCATAAATCATAAGTTCTCGATTACTTTTTCGAAGAGACGTATCTGCATTTGCATCTTACTGATACCGGTGGTGATATTGGAAACTCGTTCACTCGAAAGCAAAACATATTACAACCCCATCATGATGTGAGCTTGAATTTGTGATTGTTTTCTCAAGCGTTTCTGATGCATATAACGTAGTAATGATTGAAAATCTATGCAATAACGAAGTGAGAATCTTACTATCGCAATAAAATGATGATGGCATCGAACATCCTCTTCCCTCGGCTTATCATCAACGTCTGCGCTGGCATATGTCATACTGACACCTGCCATTTATTGAGCCCTGGTGGTGAAGTTGGCAGTTTAAATGTGCACTCACTAGATGGCATTGCGATCACATAAGGGTGGTGTATCCATAGCCTTATTCGAGGAATTGATTATTGGGATATCTTGTTAATTAAATATCTTTGTTGGCATCCTGTAGGACGTGTGCGTAAGTATGCTAGGTAGATTTTCAAAAAGAGATGTTGGGGTCGTTCCGGAAATGTTCAAATAAAGTTCTATGAACTTCCAAGCAGAGTTAGGAACGTTAGGAATGTTTTCAAAATAATTTAAGAGTTCTTCAAGTAATAATCTAGGCTTCGATAGAAATCCAGGAATATTTCAGAAGAAATTAAGGGAAGTTCTGTGCGTTGTCAAAAGTCTAGGTTTCTACGCGATCACAACAGCATCGATTTAACGATGACTTTAGCTGCCCTCTCAATTACTTTTAGATCGACAATTCCCTAAAATCTACATAAACTTATCAACTTTCAGCACACCGGAACCGAGAACGAGAGCCTGGCGAAGCTCATCTTTATGGAACTGAACAACGCTTGGAGTGAGTTCGAGAATGATGCCACGCAGCAAAATCTATTTGCAACCTAAAATGCTTCTCCTTCGAATACCTAACAACTGTAAGACAAAGCTTGAACTTTGATCAAACAAAGCTGCATTTGTTGTTCTGCACATACAACACTCACTACACATTCGGTTCCAGTTTGTCCGTAAGTATGAGATAGTCGATAGAGCATATATATGTTGGGGTTACCCGAAATTGGGCGGAAACTACGTTTTATGGATTTAGGACTATGATTTTGTTCACTCTGTTCGAATTTAAATTTTGGTTAGTTTCCTACGTTTTCTACAGCTGGTTGTAGCTTACTCTAATGCTGCTATATATTCAATAGTGGACAAACAGATTATTTTTTTTAAGGACAAATTATATGAAACTGTAAAACTTTCATCGTACTTTCACAGTGTTGCACGAATCAATTAAAATCCAACTTTTACGATCGCTTCCCAATTACAGCGTTGCCGACTCCAGTTATGGCTATACATACCAAAATATCTGAAAGTGTGAATTGAACTTGTGTTCATCCCTGAAGTGCTTCAAAATATTAATTTAAAAATTCACGGTTTTATTTATTTATTTTTTGATTATTAAAAAAAGTCTATCTATTACCTACAAACTTTAAGTTTTTTTTTAATTCTTTGTTAACCGTTTGGAAGGTATGAAAAACCTTTCCTGCTTTTAGATACTTTTTTTTTCTGCAGACATTGTTTCATTCAATTTATTAATTTGATTAAATTCGGTTACACGTCATACCTTATGGAGCACTTTTAGGTCAACTGGTCCGCTTCACCCAAAGCGCTTTATTTTAGACATGTATTCGATATCACGTTATTCATCAAGTTATTTTGTTGAAAATAACTCACTTTCAGCTCAACTTGGCAGTCCTAATAGGTGAAATTCGTATGATTAAATCTTCAGTGAAGTTTTTGTTCTACATTCGTCCAGTTTCAGATTATTTGTTTACTCATTATCAGAGCTCTATTTATCAACTTAAATGCTGAAAACGTTGAGATTATGCTAATAAAACTATAAACGAATAGAGTTTTAAACCCACAAAAAGATATACTTACACACTCTCGGTGTTATAATATAAATTATTATTGTCTGTATCATCGGATACAAAGCGCGCCGAAACCGGTTTCGGCGCGTTTGACTTCCAATGAAACAGACAATATTACTAGAACAACAAGTAAACCAACCAATCACAATCTGTACCCCACAACAATTAGCAATGTAAAATAATAAAACAAAATATATAAATTAAATTCAAGCAACTGTTGTTAAATGTGAATGTACTAAGCCAGAAAATACACCACATAGTTTAGCTGAATCCAATAGACAAGTTAAATTATTAAGCAGCATTCGTTCGACGCTTAAGATGTCAGCATCGGATGACGTAAAAGAAAAGTTAATAGAAGAAAAATAAAACTGTGATTGATTTTAAGAGAATGCTTTCGAGTAGGCGAGTACGGATAAAAAGAGAAGAGAAACAAAGTGAGAATTGATTTCATATGCTCAGTTCAAAGTAATAAGTGCATGTTATGGACAAAGAATAAACAAATACTGTTTAATCATTTTCTTCATGGTGATTCCTTGCTTGTAAACCGAGTTGCGGCCATTCGTTTGTCATACAAAAATTTGTTACGGAATTATGAAATTTCTAGATGTTTTGATGATATTTTGCACTTGCATGTTACAAGAAGAGATTGTAACGTATGTGTTTGACACATGGAACCTGTCAATTTCACTTTCAAAGAGTCATAATTTTATGTTCATGAATTCTGAAAAAAAAAACATTCTTTTATAGCAAACGAATGGCCGCATTCCTTCTTGTAAATATATTTAATTTCATATAAAGATTGGTCCCAATATTCTTCCCATTATGATTAATTTAGCTCCTAGTTTAATGTTGATATTCAATGCAATACTAATTGTATTATTCAGTTTAGCAAGTGATGCATGTGGAGCATTCCTATGAATTTTCTGATCGTTTCTGAATAGTTTACATAAACTCAGACACACATACGAATATTGCAATTGACTACGAATTAGTAGGTTCCAGTGTGCCCTGAAAAGACCGACCCTTGCTTACAATATGACTGCTCTTACCTAATATTTATGCTACCAACTTGTGTGTTACCACCGGTTAGGAATGCGATGTGATGCGAAGGTGATGAGAAAGAATTGTACAGTAAATCCGAGGTCAAGTTATATTAAATAGCAAGCAAATTAATTCCCTAAAGATGAGTTTCAATCCGAGCGCGAATATGTTATTCTATAGATATAGAAACACACACACACACACACAAACACACACATACACACTATTTATGAAGAAATAGTTAAAATATTATTATTGAATGAAAAAAAAACAAACTGATAAATATTCAGAAATTGCGAAATGAAGTTGGCTTAGAGTTTATTGCAAACATATCCAAAATTCCGTGTGGGTTTTATTTTGAACTGTATAGGTATTTCAGAGTGATCATCGAGTTTATCTGCTCTTGATTGTTGTTGATATCTGTCAGTGTCCATGTTCGAGACCTACGAATTGGTCTATAATCGGATGGGAAATATAATAGCACATGATCCATAGAATTATATTCCATCATATGACACTTTTTTAGTGATAGCGATAACGAAATTTCGGGCCAAACAAAGCATTCCGACTAAAAATTTCTTTATAGATATCAATATTTCTTTCCACTACACATTTTCTGTTAATTTTTCTCCTTGATTTGTTTTCCGTCGACCTTGTTTTCCGTACTGACTAACAATGCTACCGACGCTCACACCTGGACCCTCCCTACATATCGACCCATCATGGCCGGGAACGAACGGATTTACTGATCAGAGATTTTATGCTTCAGAAAATCCCGACGGCGTTCAGGCCCTTTGGAGTGAGAGGCAGTCACGCTTACCACTGCGCCACCGGCGCCGCTAGCTTGTTCATTACTTTTTGAAAAACGTAGCTTTTATAACAATAAAACAACACCTTTCCATTGATTTTAACTACCATTCTTCCGTGAGCTCGGTATGTAGGTATTTTCCTAGACTGCACGTAGTGATTAATGATGATGATGATATGGAACTATCACCCCACTGCGACCTAGCAAGAAGTACAGTCGACTTGTTTCGCGCTCCGGTATTTCGGAAGTTTTCTCGGTATTCGGTTGGTTTAAATTATCAGTTTTTTCTCGCTTAGTGATTACTGGCATAGTACCCGGCTAAACAATTATCTGAAAGTGAGTTTTTTTCTGAGAAGAAAGTGTGTTTTCGGCATCATCGGAAGGAAAATTGTTTTTGCGATTGCCAATTCGCCAACCATTTTGCGCACCATCGGTGTGTGATCACGCATACCGGCACACAGATCATCGTCATCGAGTGTCAGCATCTGCCTCCGCATTTATACCGGTCATCCATCATCGTGTGTCCAGCTGAGTGCCGAGCCTAATACAAGCACACCACTACAAAGATCGCCCGCACACGCGCATCGAAGGTCACCCACGCTGCGCGTCGCTCCGCTGCTGCTGTGTAATCACTCGGTGGTAGTAGTATAGCAGATAAGTTTTTTTTTCCTGTTTCTTTCTCTCGCCCATCAGTTAAATTTAATTTTGTGTTTCTGTGTTTGTAGTTTTTTTCTGTTTATTGTATCTGTGTGGTTTTAAGCATCGTTTCAGTGGTAGAGCGTTTACCGCTCCCACTAGTACGGCAAAATGGACGTCTCGTCAGAAGACGATATGGACATTTTGTCGGAAGATGACACCAGTTTGCCACTCGATGGCAAGAAAAGACGAAAACGTCCTATCATTCATGGTTCGTCTCAGAAAAGCCCCCGATCGCGAGCCTATCCAGATGACTCGACTGGGCCATGGGTTGTCTACTTTCAGCCCAAAAACAAACCTTTGAACTTGATGCAAATTTCCACTGATCTGACGAAGCGATACTCGGCCGTGACCGAAATCACGAAGGTTAGGCATAATAAACTTCGTGTTGTCGTTTCTAACCTGAAGCAGGCTAACGAGATTGCTGCCTCCCAGCTCTTTACGATTGAGTACAGGGTTTACATACCAGCTCGTGATGTGGAGATCGAAGGTGTGGTCACCGAAGCGAGTCTGACCCCCGAGATCTTGGAGAAGCAGGCGGTTGGCCGTTTCAAGAACCCCTTGCTCCCCCCGGTGAAGATACTGGATGTCCAAAAACTGGGCTCAGTATCTGTCAGCGAGGGCAAAAAGAGTTTTACCCCCACAGACTCGTTTCGCGTGACCTTTTCTGGTTCAGCCCTTCCTCAGTATATCGAGCTGGGAAAACTTCGACTACCTGTGCGCTTGTTCGTTCCCCGGGTCATGAACTGCCAAAACTGTAAGCAGTTGGGACATACGGCGTCCCACTGTGGCAGCAAGGCACGCTGTTCCAAATGCGGGGAGAAGCACGAGGATGGCACCTGCACAGTCACGGCACCAAAATGCGTGTACTGCAAAGGATCTCCTCCTCATGGTCTCTCGTCGTGTCCGGTGTACAAACAACGCGGGGAAAAACTAGAGCGCTCTCTTAAAGAACGTTCCAGGCGGTCTTTTGCAGAAATGCTTAAGACAGCCAAGCCATCGACCAACGAAACAAATCCCTTCGCTCTTTTGTCAGATGACGAGTCTGGCTCTGACTTGGCTGAGGAGGGAGTTTCTTTCAGTTTTCCGGAAGGTTCTGCCCGGAAACGAAAACGCATCCGTTCGCGGAAAGTTGCAGATCAAGAACCCCAAATCAGCTTGCCCAAATCAAGGAGTGGTGGAAAAAAGGAGACTTCTACTCCTCCTGGATTCCGCAGAACTGATTATACCCAGGATTTTCCACCTCTCCCGGGGACATCCAAAACCCCCGATGCCCCAATTTTCAGAACACAAGCCCCTTCTTCATCTGGGTTGTTCTCATTTGATAACATTGTGGACAGTATCCTCAATTACCTCGATATTTCTGATCCTCTGAAAAGCATTGTTCTGGCAATGCTTCCTACTGTGAAAACCCTCTTGAAGCAGTTGACATTAAAGTGGCCCCTCCTTGCAGCAATCATCTCCTTCGATGGATAATTTTCCAAACGAGGTCGGGGATTTGATCACTGTTCTACAGTGGAATTGTCGAAGTCTTATTCCTAAGATAGAATCGTTTAAGTTTTTGGCTCACAATAACGATTGTGATGCATTTGCTCTGTGTGAAACTTGGCTCTCTTCAGATATTGATCTTCCTTTTCATGATTTTAACATTATTCGACTGGATCGTGAGGATTCGCGTGGAGGAGGAGTACTTTTGGGGATCAAAAAGTGCCATTCCTTCTATAGAGTGAATCTTCCACAATTTCCAGGTATTGAAGTTGTCGCATGTCAGGCTTTTGTTAAAGGCAAGAGCCTTTGTATTGCTTCTGTGTATATTCCTCCCCGAGTTTCGATTAGTCAAAAACAACTTTCAGATATCTGTTCAGTTCTTCCTACTCCACGGTTGATTATGGGAGATTTTAATTCCCACGGTACAGGCTGGGGGGAACTGTATGATGACAACCGTTCTACTTTGATATATGACCTCTGTGATAACTTCAATATGACAATTCTTAACAATGGAGAAGTAACACGTCTGGCTGGTCCATCCTCAAATGGAAGTAGATTAGACCTCACACTTTGCTCTAATTCATTATCGTTGGATTGCACGTGGAATGTGATCCAGGATCCCCACGGTAGTGATCACTTGCCGATCAAAATTTCGATTGCCAGTGGGTTCAATTCGTCGGAATCCGTTAACGTCGCGTACGACCTCACCCGTAATATCGATTGGACAACGTTCAAGACCGCGATAGATGAAGCCGTGTCGTCGGTAGAAGAGCTTCCACCGTTGGAGGAATATAACTTCCTCTCCAATCTGATCTTGGACAGCGCGCTTCGAGCTCAAACTCGGCCGGTTCCAGGAACGTCTTTTCGTAGGAAACCTCCTACCCCTTGGTGGGACCAGCAATGCACTGAGGTTTATCGTAAAAAGTCCGACGCGTTTAAGCTTTTCCGGAAACGCGGAACACCCGAGTATTTCGAAGCGTACTCGACTCTTGAACACGAACTCAAGAGCCTCATCAAAGCCAAGAAACGCGGATACTGGCGGCAATTCGTGGACGGTTTATCGCGCGAAACGTCGATGAATACGCTTTGGAACACGGCGCGAAGGATGCGTAACCGGTCTTCAAACAACGAGAGCGAGGAGTACTCGGATCGGTGGATTCTCAAGTTCGCGCGAAAAGTATGTCCTGATTCCGTGCCGGCACAGATGATTCCTCGCGAAACGACGAATTCGGTAGACGAGATCAGCCAGCCTTTTTCAATGCTGGAGCTCTCACTCGCGCTCCTTTCGTGTCGCAATTCGGCTCCGGGGGCTGATAGGATCAAGTTCGACTTGTTGAAGAACCTCCCAGACGTCGCTAAGAGGCGCATGTTGAACTTGTTTTGTCAGTTCCTGGAGTTCAATATTGTTCCAGATGATTGGAGGCGAGTGAGAGTTATAGCCATTAAAAAGCCTGGAAAACCCGCGTCAGATCATAACTCGTATCGTCCCATCGCGATGTTATCGTGCATTCGAAAATTGTTGGAGAAAATGATCCTTTTTCGCCTCGACAAATGGGTTGAGACGAACCACCTACTCTCAGATACTCAATTTGGTTTCCGTAGGGGTAAGGGAACGAACGACTGTCTCGCGTTGCTTTCCACAGAAATCCAGTTGGCTTTTGCTAAAAAAGAGCAAATGGCTTCTGTGTTCTTGGATATTAAGGGGGCTTTTGATTCAGTATCGGTTGAAGTCCTTTCAGACAAACTCCACGCTTGTGGCCTTTCCCCATTAATTAATAACTTTTTGTACAATTTGCTGTCAGAGAAACATATGAGCTTTTCTCATGGAAACTCTACAGCTTCTCGATTTAGTTACATGGGTCTCCCCCAGGGCTCATGTTTAAGCCCCCTTCTGTATAATTTCTACGTCAGAGAAATTGACAATTGTCTAAGGGACAACTGCACGTTGAGACAACTTGCAGATGACGGAGTAGTGTCTATGACAGGACTCAGAGAGGCCGACCTGCAAGGACCCTTACAGGATACCTTAGACAATTTGTCTACTTGGGCTATCCAGCTAGGTATCGAATTCTCCACGGAGAAAACTGAGTTGGTCGTTTTTTCTAGGAAGCATAGCCCAGCACAACCGAAGCTTCAACTTTTGGGTAAGCCGATCACTCATTCCATGTCTTTCAAATATCTTGGGGTCTGGTTCGATTCCAAATGCACCTGGAGATCCCACATTGAGTATCTGAGACGAAAATGCCAACTAAGGATCAATTTTCTCCGAACAATTAC